ACCGGTCTCAGTTGGCCGGTCCGTCTTTTGCCACCGGTCCCCGGCCGGTTTCAAACCCTGACTGACCCGGCTGACTGCTGACTGGACGGTTTTTCGCCAACGGATAAAAAAGGAGGGTTGACCGCGAGCGCTTGTTGTGTACCCTAGGTCCTGTCCCCTCCGTCTCAAGCCGGTAGGANNTAGGAAACGGAAGCCGTAACTGAACGTGCAAGCTTCAAGACATCCGTCGCGTGGACAATGTGGGCTGCTAGATGTTTAACGGTTGCAGCAAGGCTTTAAGTCTCGGATATGAGATCTGGGCTGGTGGTCGGGGATGCTGGGCTGTCTGACTTGGGATTATGTTAAGGCTCGGACCCGCCAAGTTTAGTGCCAGCAGGCCGTGAAAGAGTGCGACAGGTACATGGCATGCTGCCGATAACTGGCAGGTCACAGCTTGCTTCGTCCCGTCTTGCAACCCTAAACCCTAAACCCTAAACCCTAAAGCTTGATGGCATGCCCTGCTCTTTGGCCGTCCTCCCTCCCTGTTTCCAGGATGTAGACAGAGGCGCCTTCTGCGGGCTTCTATGCCAGGCGTCGAGTTGTTATGAGTCATGCGTCATGCTTTTGCCACAAGTTCCGAACGGTTTAGGACTTAGGGTTCACGGTTGACATGTTCGTGTCTTGGTGCGTACTTGCTCGTGTCAGGAGGAGTAGATTCTGGAAGAATCGGGGCACTGGGTCACTCGGGCCGCTTCCACATACCCTAAACCCTAAACCCCAAACCCTAAACCTCAAACCCTAAACCCTAAACCCTAAACCCTCTACCTGGCAAGCATGTCGTGAGGCTGAGGCCGAAGGCCCGAAAAAGGGGCAAAGCTTAGACCTTGCAGGTGGATGCGCAGTGCCCCAGTGGGGCGCAGTGCAAGATGATGAGTCAGGCCTCTGGGATCGGACTCAGGGCCACTTGGAGGTTCATGGCTAGTTATAAGTGGGGTTATGCGGTTCCTTTAAGGGTTCCTTTAAGGGGTTCTATAGGGTTTAGGGTTTAGGGGTAGTTATAAGTGGAGTTATAAGTCCCCTAATATGGGTTATAATTACAGTTGCCCTACTTATAGCCCAAC